GGAATAACAGAATAACATAGTTGGAAGGGACCTTGGAGGTCTTTTAGACCAACTCTCAGCTTAGGCAGGGAACCATTTCAGAAAAATGGTTGTCCAATTTCTTAAAAACTTTCAATGTTGGAGAACTCACAACTTCTTGGAGGCAAATCAGTCCACTGATTAATTGTTTTGTGAGGAAATTTCTCCTTAGTTCTTGGTTGATTGTCTCCTTGATTAATTTCCATCCATTGCTTCTTATCTTGCCTTCAGGTGCTTAGGTTGACCCCTTTCCTTGTGGCAGCCTGAGTCATTATAGAGTAGTATTAACGTGGTGTTGTAGGAGTGGGGAAATCCTGGTTGGGGCCAGTTCTCTCAGTCCTAGACTGAATAATTGAGAAAAAAAATCAATGAGCTGGATTATGGTCCATATTTTTCAATGAATAGGCCTTCATTCAATACTGGATTGATTCAGGCTGATTCAACTCTATAAAGTGATTGAAGAATTTTAAATATTTACACGCTCCACCCTTCAAAGTAAAGTTTCCTCACACTGCCTTGCAAATCCCAGTTGAAAGGTTTACAGTTTAAAACATTAAATATCACTGATAAGTTTTGCTAAGCAGTTTAAATCACAAATAAAATGGGAAAGTTCCAAGATTTATGTTAACATTAAAAACATTCCAAATCATCACACACATTTTTATGTATTATGTTCTGCTTTGCAGGATAACGTATCCTTAATTGAGTAAAGGGAATTGGGTGCCTCGTGGAAGTGTCACGGTTACTATTTTTTTTATTGTTCATTTTAAATTTTTGTCTCAGGACAAAGTTGCAGTAAAATATTCTTAGCAGGCAGATAAAGCAGTTACTTCCCTTGCATTAATCAGGATATACTCATTCTTATGTTTCACATTAGAATTTCTACTTAGGAGATACAAAATAAAAGCACCTCCAATTAATTATGTTTGTTATGTTATGTTATGTTGTTTGTTATGTTATATTATCATCCCACACTATTTAATTTTTTTTTTTAAAAAAATAAATCTACTGCATGCAAAAACTTTCCCCCTCCTTATGTCCTCCAAACACCCAAACTTTTGCAAAACCGAAAAAAACGGAGCGTCCGTCTAAAAGAGAAGCAAGGCTCCCCTCAGCACGTGCTACCGATTGCAGCCAATCATAATTGCCATTTTTGCTCAATTCTCTTGTTAAAGCCCCAATCCCGAAGCGGCTGTTCGGCGTGGGGCGAGGCCAGACGGCAGCAGAGCATTTCGGGAATGGTAGTTTAATATTTTCCTATAAAGGCAGGTGTAGGAAAGGGGTTCTTGTTTTTTTTAATGTAGAGGGAAAGAGCGCAGTGCTTCCTTATAGGTTTGTGATGTTCGCGCGTCCCCCGTTGGTGATAATTGAAAACCTGATTTATAAAGCTGAATGGTTTCATAAAAGACCATTTTAAAAAACAAATCAAAACTGAGAAGTGTTAAATGGGGGTCTTTCTGTTTTGGTCCTGTTTCCTTTAGTATCTCTAGCTCTAAGAGGAATTAATGCTTTAAATTAATGTACTCCAAAGATGCTTGCAGAAATTGTTCCTGTTGCTATTGTTGAAAAAAATGTTCCAAGATTTGGGTTCCAAAGGGAACTGTACCACTTGGAGAAAGTCCGGAGTTTGTTTCTTGCTATTTCTAAGGAGACCTAAAATTTGAGACAGTTTATTTAGTTATTTGTATCCTGCCTTTATTATTTTTGCAAATAACTCAAGGCGATAAATATACCTTCAACAGACCTTCCCGCTCCTATTTTCCCCACAACAACAATCCTGTGAGGTGGGTTGGGCCAAAAGGGAGTGATTGGCCCAAAGTCACCCAACTAGTTTTCATGGCTAAGGCAGAACTAGAACTCAGAGTCTCCTGTTTTTGTTAGCCTGGTGCCTTAACCACTAGACCAAATTGATTGAATTTGATTTTGTTCTGGGGTTTCTTTGCTTTTATTGTGCTTTAATTTTAATTTGTTTTTTTATCCTGCCTTTATCATTTTTTAAAAAACAAACTCAAACCTAGATGCAATTCTATTAATGGGGAGCTAGAAAGGAGAATAGATTCTTAACTTGCCTCCAGAAGTCGTGAATGCTCCAACACTGGAAGTTTTAAAAACGCTGCTGGATAAACATTTGTCTGAAGTGGTGTAGGGTTTCCTGCCTAGGCAGAGGGTTGGACTAGAAGATCTCCAAGGTCCCTTCCAACTCTGTTATTCTGTGTTGTTCAGTTTCATTTTTGGAATAAATAGAAAGTTAGCATGCCGATCCACTTGTGGTGGTTGCTTGAATGACAAAAGTCTTAAATGCTATGTAAGAATATCAATTGAAAGATGCCTAATAGAACTGAGGTGATTTAGTAGATTTTTAAGCCCTTTAATTTGTGTTACTCATGGATCAAATGAAGAGAAAACCAAGAGTTAACTGCTTTATCAAATAACAAGCATGATACATTTGGGTGTTTTGTGAATGGCTGCTATTTACCAATAATGCAAACTAACTGCGGTGCCTATATTTAATTTACCTTGTTTTTTCAGATGACTAATTTCACCTCCCAAAAGGAAGGTAGGTAGAGTGTATGTATGTGGGGTTACATTTAGTTAGCATCTTTTCTAACTAAACATTTTGATTAAAAGGCACATACACACACACAAATACTTCTTGGATTTGATGAAATGGAGTGGGTTTCCAAAAGTAATGCTTTCAAATAATTTGCTATAATATTGTTCTTTGAGACATTACCAAATCTTATTTTTGCCGTAACAAACACAAAATAGAACTTTCTGAACGTTATTGTTTTCTGAAATAATATATTGTTACTCAAACTAGTAATAAACTAAACTGGGTTTGTGGCAGGGAGGTTGATAAATGGAAGTTTTCAATGTATGTGAATGAATCTTACATCCATCCATCCATCCATCCATAAATTTGTGGATTGTTCAAGTTCTGGAGGAGCAGTAAACAATGGTCAACTTTCAAAACTGGAATGTTTCAAATTGATTTATTGAAAAGTCATGGAGCAAATGCTAGTTGCTTAATGAGAGAGCTATGAAAAAAAGGGAAATAGTATTTTGGAAAAGTGTGGCTGTTTGGGATCAAGGTATTTATATAATTTATATAACTGTGTAGATAACATTGCAGAGATTGTGAGAGGAGAATCACAATAGTCTCTTGCAGTAAAACGTCAGAAGGATTCTGAGAACATCTTTTTTGCTGATTGCACCTTTTTAGCACGGAACAAAATAACAGAGTGGGAAGGGACAGTGGAGGTCTTGTAGTCCACCCCACTGATACAGCAATAGCACTTAGACTTATATACCATTTTACAGTGGTTTACAGCGGTTTACAGATACAATTTGGGTCCAACAGTTTACCCATCTTGGAAAGATGGAAGGCTAAGTCAATCCTTTCAGACAAATGGTTGTGTCAGCCTGCATCTTCAGTTTCTTTCAAGCTTGCTGCCAGCTACCATGGAAACGATGGTGGGGGAGGAAGCGTTGCATGAGATGGAAATTTCTGAGAAGTGGAGAGGAGACCTGGTCTCAGGGAGGCCAGCTTGGGTTGTTTTCAAGGCCAACTGTCCAGGCTTTGGAATGTGCGAAGGAGGAACAGTGCACCTGAACCAGAAGTTTTCCCAAAACATATTTCTGGCCGATGATTGAACTCTGGTTGCCTGGCTACTGGGTGGTGGGCTCTGTGGTTTGCTTCAGCTTGCTTCTTTGTGTGAATTTTCTTCAGATCTTGACTGACCATTGCTGTATTCAGTTCATTCCTACTAAAAGTATATTTTCTCTAAATTTATGGAATCAAGGGTTTTTCTTAGGGATTGAGGGGAGGCAGCCCTGATGGTTGTCCAGTCACTTCTAAAAAGCCTCCAATGGTGGAGCACCTGCAACTTCTGATGGCAGGCTGTTCCACCGGCTGATTATTCTCAATTAGGAAGTTTCTCCTTAATTCCAGGTTGCTTCTCTCCTTTCTAAAGCTTCCACCCACTGCTTCTTGTTGTACCTTCAGGTGCTTTGGGTTGTTGGGTTATTCTAGCAGTGGGAGAAGCCTACTGCTTGGCTCACTTTCAGTGAGTGGGTGGCATTCCACCCAAACACTGAAAATGTTGTTCATATACTGTATTTTGAATGGAAGATTACATATTTTGGGAAAGAGGGATGAGCTCTCCGCTGGGGGATTGTGATGACCCGGGGTATGGCACAAAGGCAACACAGATAATCAGTAGGAGTCCCTTTATTAGCTCCAACTTTCCCCCCAATGTCCTGGTTACCTTCTAGCTGGAGAAAAACTCTCCCAGGAACAGCCTTTGGCTGTAGAGAATCAAGTCCAAAACATGGTTAACAAAAACTGTAACTATAAGTCCAATCAACGCAAAATGTAGTCCAGCAGAGCAAGAGAAGCAATTCCAGATGTGAAGGAACAGCTGTGATTCAACCCAGTTGGGAGGATGCCAGGAACACAGATAACTAAAGTGAACACAAGATAAACTCACGTTTGTTCCCAGAAGATGCCACACTCAGCTTGCATTTCTTAAACTGTCATTCCCAGGTGTGGCTAATGAAGGGACTTAGGGCCCTTTCCTGCCCCATAAGCCACATAACCTACATTGCTCTCTTTTCCATTCCATCCTGCATGTCCTAGGATGAAGAGAGGGTGGGCCTGAGTCTTCCTCTGAACTCCCTCTTCCTTGTTCTACCTCTCTCCTGCTCTGCCCAGCCAGACTTTGCCCTTCCCCAGCTTCCTCCACAGCCAAGGGAGCCACACTCCCACTCCCTGTCAGCTGTTCGTCTTCCTCCTCAGATTCAGACTCTGACGGGGGCATGAGAGAGATTGTAATATGCTGATCTTAGTTCCTTTCTCTTCCATACCAGAATCTGTTCTTTTTCTGAAGCTCCAGAGCACAAGATACTGCTGTTAGCGCCTTCAGCTGTTGCCACCTGAGTGAAGAAATCAAACTAGCTTTTCCAATTTTGATAGAAGAGCCATGGAGCTGCAGCACATTGTACAGAAGCTGCGACGGGAACTAACCTGTTCCATCTGTTTCAAGAGTTTCTTCAATCCGATAACGCTTGCCTGCGGGCACAATTTCTGCCATGCCTGCCTTGTGAGTTACTGGGGCCAATTTCCCATCGAGACGGCTTGTCCTCGATGTCAGGTGAAAATTCCTCGGCTGAACTTTATACCCAACGTCCAGCTGGCGAATATTACAAAACTGGTTGAAGAGTTGAATGTGGATATCAAGAAAATCACAGCAGAGGGCCATGTGTGTCAGAAGCACCCTCCAACGCTCCAGGCTTTCTGCAGGAATGAGCTCGTCCTCTTCTGTTCGAGGTGTGATTTATCTCGGGAGCATCTGACTCACGATGTTGTCCCTGTGGCTGAAGCTGCCCAAGAGTACAAGGTGGGAATCTTTGATAGGCGCTGCCCATGTCAGTCATTGCAGATCATCTAGACCAAGGATCCCCAACCTTTGAACCGTGGCCCACTATCGGGCCTTTAGCCAGTCAGAACCGGTCCATGGAAGGGGCAAGCAAGCGCACACGGATGCATGCATCCCCTTCTCTGCCCCCTCCCCCCACTCCATCCGCAAAGCCAAAAAGGTTGAACTCTACTATAAGGTATTGAAGAGGTTGCTGTTCCCTAGGAAGTTTAAGTGAGCTCTGGGTCAGCTTTGGAAGCCATATTAGCACCAGAAGCTTCCACACCGCCACATTCTTGAGCCTGGGAAGATAGAATGAAGATTTTGATGAAGCTGGATAGCAAGAGCAAGAGCACTTAGACTTATATACCGCTTTACAGTGCTTTACAGCCCGCTCTAAGCGGTTTTTACAGAGTCAGCCTATTGCCCCCAACAATCTGGGTCCTCATTTTACCCACCTCAGAAGGATGGAAGGCCTAGTCGACCTTGAGTCTGGTGAGATTCGAACTGCCAAATTATAGGCAGCCAGCAGTCAGCAGAAGTAGCCTGCAGTACTGCACTCTAACCACTGTGCCATTGTGGCTTATATGATTGCACTTGTGTACAAAGTACACACAGATACACCCTACAAATGTGTGGAAGAGGTCAGTTTGTGAGTTTTGGTCTCCACAGGTAGGGATGATATTACAGTATATTTGCAAACACTGTGCCAGTGATTTGTGTTATAAAGCAACTATGGCTTATTTCACAAATAATATTTACCAGTTTCCCTACCTGTGCAACATTTAATAGAGTCTGAATCCGAAGGTGCTTTTTCAAGAGGCAACTGGATTTTGTTTTTCCTTGAAGACATTTTGCTTCCTGTCTCAGAAGCTTCTTTGGACTGAAGAACTGAACTGAAGAAGCTTCTTGGATGAGAAGCGAAACACCTTCAAGGAAAAAACAAAAAAGTCCAATTGCTTCATGAAGAAAAACCTTTGGGACAACCATGACCTGGATGACCGAGAATCTCCATAAACAGAACATAAAGAGGAGGTGAAGTTGGGTGGGTGAAAAAGAGTCAGAGAACTGGGACTGTTAGAATCTTTGATGATAGCCTCCTACTATTTGGCGATTATCTTGGGATGATATCCTCCTAGTATTCGATTATTATCTCAATATCTTTTTTTCTTCTTCTAGGGCCATTTGTTAAGTGTCATGGGGACTTTAGAGAATGAGAAAGAAAGGATTTCAAAACACCACACAGATGAAGAAACCCAAGCTGGGTCCCTGATTGTATGTGTTACTAAGAAATCGCTTTTCTTTTTAACGCTGTTTGAAATACTTGCCTAAAATAGTTCAGTCTTCTCCACGGATATTCTAAGGATCAGCATTTTGGAAATCTTGCAAAGTTTCCCTTGATTCCTGGAGACTAAATAGGCCAGTTCCATACTGTTTTCAACCATATGGAAATAATTTACCCTGGTAGTTTGCCAAGATGAAATTTTTTTAAAATGTTTATTTTCCTATCTACAACCGTTGGATTCTTTAGTGTTCTTCCATCCAAGTTTTCCCAAAGGTGTTTTTTTCAAGAGGCGGCTGGACTTGCTTCGTCCTTGAAGATGTTACGCTTCTCATCCAAGAAGATTCCTCAGCTCAGTTCAGTTCTTCAGAACTAATGAAGCTTCTTAGACGAGAAGTAAAACGGCTTCAAGGAAGAACAAAGTCTAGTTGCCTCTTGAAAAAGCAAACATAAACATTCCATCCAAGTTCTCCGTAAACATTCCATCCAAGTTCTAACTAGGTCCAAACCTGTTTATTTTATTTTTTTAAGATTCGACAAGACTAACTTGGTGCTTTTGTCTGCTGGGAAATGTTCTCTATAATGTGATGTGTTTGAAAAGCCACTAAGGTTAAACGAGGAATAGATAGCCTTTGGGTCTGGAAGGCAGGTAGCATATTAAGGATGTTGAATATACCATAGATGTCCCGTAAAAAGATTGCCATAAACTATGTTACCAACCTCTACTTCCTGAGTGCAAATATTCCATGCTGCTTGTCACCCTTGCAAGGTAGTCCAGACAGGAAGCATACCCAGATGTCCTAACTCTTCTTTATTTTTAAGTTTACATTAATAAAATCTTGCAAGTCTGAAAATACAATTATGCCCCATCACTTTCACAGCCTAAGAAAGGGGGTGAGAGGTCCCCTTCAGGATATATTTGCCGCACCCACATTCCTTCTGTGAGCTATGTTGTATCTTTTGCAACTGTTCCATTGGGTGTACCAGCAATCAATCAATTAATCAATCAATCAGAACAGAGCTGGAAGGGACCTTGAAGGTCTTCTTAGTCTAGCTCCCTACTCAAGCAGGAGATTTTATAATCTATTCTATTCTATTCTTCCAGTCTCTTCTTAAAAATCTCTATTGATGAAGCCCTCACCACTTCTGAAGGCAAGCTATTCCATTGGTTAATTGTCCTCACCGTTAGGAAATTGCTTCTTAATCCCAGGTTGAATCTCTCCTTGATTAGTTTCCATCCATTGTTTCTTGTCCTGCCTTCAGTTGCTTTGGAAAATAAATTAACCCCCCTCCTCTTTGTGGCAGCCCTTCAAATACTAGAATACTGCTGTCATGTCACCCCCTAGTTCAGTAGTGGCTAACCTTTTGGGGCTCCAGTGCCAAAAATTGTGAGCGTGCCAGCGCGCCCGCACTCGCATGCCGGGACCCAGAATGCAATGCACCCCCCCTCCCCACACCCCCTGAGCATGCGTGTGCAATCCCCCACTCCCACCCCCTTACCTGCACTGCGTCTCACAGCTGATTTTTCAGCTGGTTTGAGGCCTTTTTCGGCCTCCCAGAGGCTTAGAAAAAGCCTCTGCAAGGCTTCTCAGGCTGAATTATAGGCCCGTTTCATCACTTCCGGTATTACAGGAAGTGACCAAACGGGCCTATAATTAGGCTTGAGAAGCCTTGCAGAAGCTTTTTCCAAGCCTCTGGGAGGCCGAAAAAGGCCTCAAACCAACCGGGGGAAAAAAATCACCTGTGAGGCACGGGCATGTGCCTGCGGCTCGTGTGCCAGCACAAATGGGTCTGCGTGCCACTTGTAACACACATGCCATAGGTTTGCCATCATGGCCCTAGTTGTTCTTTTCTCTAGACTAGCCAAACCCAAATCCTGCAACCGTTCTTCATATGTTGTTGTCTCCAGGCCTTTAATCATCTTAGGTGCTCTTCTTTCCACTTTTTCCAAAATTTCAAAATCTTTTTTATAATGTGGTGACCAAAATACCTGTCTCCCAAGGCCTTGTCCACATACCCTCAAATTGTGCCTCTTCTTTAATCGATGCTATGGTGACAAAATGCAAGACAACATCACAGAAATGTCACAAAGTACCTACTGTGCACTGTTTGTCATTGTGACATCTTACTGGTGTCTCTGTCTGTCGCTGAACGCCATTTCCAAGCTGATTTGGTTCCTGACCAAGATTTTTTCCTCTGTCCATCTGTTGCTTGCAGGAACTAATAGAAACAGAGAGGCAATTCGTTATCACTGAATTTAATGCAATACGCCAATTTTTGGAAGAACAAGAGAACTTTCTGCTGCTTAAAGTTTTGGAAAATTTAGAGAAGGGGATGCTGTGGAAAAAGGCTAAACATGCAGCCATCTTATTCCGGGAAGTCTCAGCTTTTGATGAAGTTATCCAGACAGTCAAGGAGAAGTGCCAACAATCGGCAGTTGAGCTTCTGCAGGTAAGAGATTCCAAAATTGGGACAAAGACACCTGAGAGAACAGCTTCCCCTAGATCAGGGCTGTCAAACTCGTGGCCCGCAGCCCAGATGCGTCACATGCTGGCCATGCCCACGTCCGGTTTAACAAAGGGGGAAAAAATCGTGATACGTCATGTGATACCGCCATGACAACGCAAGTTTGACACCCCTGCCCTAGATAGATCTGCATGACTGCTGCAATTCTCCTTGAAGGACTTCCTGATTCTGCAGTAGCCTTCTGATATTCATTTGCAATTCGCTGAGACATTTTTGTTTTGTTTTCATCATAAAACAATCTGGGTTGGTGGTCTCCTGAGTTCTTTTGCTCTATGAAATGTAATTACTGAAGTTATCCTGCTGTTACTGTTTCATTCTATATTGGCTTTTGATGGCTTTCTTTGATATTAAGACTAAGGGTTATGTTGTTGTTAGTCGCGAATTCATGTCTGACCCATTGTGACCCCATGGACAATGTTCCTCCAGGCCTTCCTGTCCTCTACCATCCTCAGGAGTCCATTTAAGCTCACTACTTCAGTGACTCCATCCAGCCACCTCATTCTTCTATTGCCCTCAGTCTTTCCCAGCATTAGGCTCTTCTCCAGGGAGTCCTTCCTTCTCATTAGGTGACCAAAGTATTTGAGTTTCATCTTCAGGATCTGGCCTTCTAAAGAGCAGTCAGGGTTGATCTCTAGGACTGGCCGGTTTGGTCGCCTTGCAGTCCAAGGGACTCGCAGGAGTCTTCTCCAGCATCACAGCTCAAAGGCCTCAATTCTTTGGCGCCCCAGCGTTTCTTATGGTCCAATTTTCACGGCCATACATTGCAACTGGGAAAACCAATTTATAAAAGGTTTATAGCTTTGATAGAAAAAATAAATTATGTATTTTATATATAAAAATAAAGTATATATTTTATAGAAAAGGTTTATAGCTGGGTTTAAATCCATGATTCCCAACCTATGGTCCAAGAAATAAAGCTGTATGGGTAGGTGGTCCCTTAAACCCTTAACCATCCTTAGTGCAATCCAGTACATATGGAGGACGTTCAATTACGAAAAGCTACCGAGGCTTTCCCCCCACTTGGACCTAACTGTGGCACAACCATGCTCTAATACAGGGGTGTTCAGACTCACGGCCCATGAGCCAGATGTGTCACGTGCTGGCCCTGCCCCCTGCCCTGCTTAGCAAAGGGGAAAAAAGTCCGGATACGACATGTGATACCGCCGTGACAACACAAGTTTGACACCCCTGCTCTAATACCTTCTGTTCTTCCACTTTGTTCTCATGATGGTGCCTTCTCATTCTCAACCATTGGAGACACAGATACAGAGCATCCTTAGTTATACTGGTGTCAAAATAACATGCCTTATTCTGACACCATCTGTTCTGACCAAGGCTTCCTGAGACAGTAACAATCACACGCTATTCCCCAAAACCTTGTTTTTATTTCAACAGCTATGATTTATATGCAAACAGTTTTTGAATAATCCCACAGAAGTCTTCCACAGTCTTTCAGGATAAGGCTGATAAGCACCCACCTTTATCTCTCTTGAAATGCTGCCAGTGACTAAATTGCCAATTAGCTGTACAAGGCGAAACTGAGCACAAAGTCAACATAGAGCTTCAGATTTTAAACCAACCAGAACGAACAAAGTTGCTTCCTGCAAAGGCTCATGTCCCTTTTCTCCTCCTTTATGTCTTATGGGAGGGGCCAATCACCTCCAAGCCTTACTCCTAGGTCGCCCCTTTTGTCTTAACTGTTCTTGCCTTCTGGCAGCTCTGCGCAAGTGCGCACTGGGAACATGCTTCCCCTGTTCCTCTGCTTTGCTGCTGCCAGATTCTGGAGGCTCCGGAGTCAGCACATAACTCCCAGATGGCTCTGGCCCCATCTCTGTATCGGACACAGATCCCTCGTCCGAGTCCTCCCCAGCCTCCAGGACTGGCCCATGTTCCTCCCCACTGTCTGACTCTGACGCCAGCTCCTCAGGCCGCCAGTGGACCACAACACCATCCAAGAACAACCTCAAGGTGTGTAGAAAGTGCCACCTCAAGGTGTGTGGAATCTGCCAGGTTATTTCATTGATGATCTTGGAAGGGAGAAGCCTGGAATAAGGAGAGGATAGCCATCAGCAATGAGGGCAGTCCATTTCATGGGTATATAGTAGCTGTAGCTTTCTGCTGGAAGGCTGAATGGAAGGCCCTTCAATGTTTTGCCTGGGAAAAAGTCCATGGAAGTGGCTCAAACAATATTTCTTGGAGAAATATTGTAGAAGACTTCAGCATCTAAGATGGAACTATCTTAGCTTTGGACAGGATGCTCATTGACCATTCCAATGTGCCCCCTGTCCAACATGTAGATTAGGATACAGTCTAGCTTTGATGTTCTCAACTGGGCAGGAGATGAGTAGAGTTAAATGAGGAAGGCAGGTGCTAGAGTTGAGCAATAGTTCTTTCTGCAACTGAGACGTGAATGGAGAAGTTGACATCTTCATGTCCCTTCAAGCAGTCTGTATAATTGGGAGGACCTATAAATTGCTGATAAGTGCCTGTTTTGCATGCTGAACTGTCTTCTTTGATTTGGCCGCTTCAAGTTATGTGGATTCTCAGAATCCCCCAAGCGGTATTGCTGATGCAGAGAATACTGGGGTGCGAAATTCCACATACCTGGAGAAGACAAAGGCTGGGGAAAGTTGATATAAAACAATACAATGGAAACATTTCCAAGTATTATTCCAGTCTGGGATTTGAAAGGCACTTTTAATATGAACAACCACCTAATTCCTTTCCACTTTAACTCTATCTCTCTTCTAGGATGTGGGAAGCACTCTTAAGAGGTAAGCTGACTTCTCCCTAAATTGGAATTGTGGATGCAAGGAGAATGGCTAGGCACAGAGGACAGTCGATTTTGTTTTTATGTGTGTTATGCAAATTAGTGGAATAGTAGAAACCCATTTTTTTGGTTGATGCTCCAATTTGAGACCTTTAAAGAAATAAATTGTGAAATCATGGGATTCCATCTTTTTTGTTTTGACATGTTAGAAATGAAAACAAGTGCATTTGATTATCACTATAAAAGTTTGCATAATTTGTTTAGACAATCTAATCCAAATTATACGGCACGTACTCAAGCCCAGTTACTTGAGTAGAGCAAGTTAACATCATGACACACAACTGTGACCTAAGTGATGATCCAGTGATCTTACCAGAAGATTAATGAGGATAATCTTCAGTGATGATTAAGAGAAGTCAACAAGAAGTCAACATGATAGATAACAGACAGGCCTTGGAGTCCACTTTGCATGTGGCTCTGGTTAAATATCAATTCTTGGGGGACTTTTGACTTTCTGAGTAGTTTTCCTTTTATTGAGTCTGTCATCTGCACCTCTGTAATGGTCTGGTTTGGCTCTGCAACCAAACAAGGCAGATACATACTTCAATGGATAATTAGAACTGCAGAAAAAACAATTGCTACCAACCTGCCTTCCATTGAGGACCTGTATTCTGTACGAGTCAAAAAGAGGCATGTGAAAATATCTACAGACCCCTCACATCCTGGACATAGTTTCAACTTCTTCCCTCAAAACGATGCTATAGGGCACTGCACACTAGAACTACTAGACACAAGAACAGTTTTTCCCCGAATGCCATCACTCCGCTAAACAACTAATTCTCACAACTGTCAACTTATTTACTAAGACTGCATTACTGTTATTCCTCTCATCCTTCCTAGTACCTACCTCTTCCCACTTGTGACTATATCCGTGTTGCTTGTATTTCTACAATTTATATTGTTTTGTTTCCTAGTATGATTTGATTGCTTATTAGTAACCTATGACTATCACTAAGTGTTGTACCTTATGGTTCTCAATGAATATATATTTTTCCTTTATGTACAGTGACAGCCTATGCACCAAAGACCAATTCCTTGTCTGTCCAATCACACTTAGCCAATAAGGAATTCTGTTCTGTTCTATTCTATTCTATTCTATTCTATTCTATTCTATTCTATTCTGTTCTGTTCTGTTCTGTTCTGTTCTGTTCTGTTCTGTTCTGTTCTGTTCTGTTCTATTCCATTCCATTCCATTCCATTCCATTCTAATTTTCTTCTTGCTTTTTTGTTTCTGCCTAGGCCTACTAGACTTTATCCTGTCCCTCTTACCTGCTTCATCCTAGATCACCATTCTTTGGCAAAATGGTGGGATGCAAATTCCATAAATAAATTAGGCTTATTATGAAGACTATCAAGTCCCATGTGATTTCTCAAAGGAAAAAGAGTAGCCAGCTGGAAGCATCTACCCAAATGTAGGAATAGGGATCAGATTTTGGAGAATGGGTGGACAGACCTTTTGAGTCTGGGATTACATTTTGTCTTCATATTTTACTTGGTTGATATGACTTCACTGGATTGAATGATGCCTGTACTTTGGAAGAAGGAGAGTTGAAGAGTTAATATGGATGCCTTGAGCCCTGTAGAGTATTTACCCCTTAAATATCATTTTTGACTCATATTTTCTTAATATGAAAATTGGGTATTTGTATGTGGATCTTTGGTTGTTCGGGTTTTCTCCCACGTAAGATTCAAAGTATCTAGGCAACGTTTCGATGAAGTCTCATTCATCATCTTCAGGCTTCCGTCTTCGGCTCTGTGCTTCTCAGAGTGAAGAATCCCAGACTCTCACTCTGAGAAGCACAGAGCTGAAGACAGAAGCCTGAAGATGATGAATGAGACTTCATCAAAACGTTGCCTAGATACTTCGAATCTTACGCGGGAGAAAACCCGAACAACCAAAGATACACACACACACACACACACACACACACACACACACATATATATATACACACACCAGCTTCTTTATTGATACAACAAAAAGTACAAATAGCCTTTAAAACTTCTGGAACTGTTTTTTGGTACCAGCAGCCTTGGTCACCTTGAGTATGTTGAACCGGACAGTCTTGCTGAGGGGGTGGCACTCTCCCACCATCACACTATCCCCAATCTGCACATCCCTGAAGTAGGGAGACAGGTGCACCGACATGTTCTTGTGCCACTTCTCGAAGCGGTTGTATTTGCGGATGTAGTGCAGGTAGTCCTTGCAGATGATGATGGTGTGTTACATCTTCATCTTGGTGACCACACTGGAAAGGATGCGGCCCTGAATTGAGACGTTTGCCGGTGAAGGGGCACTTCTTCTCAATGTAGGAGCCCTCGATGGTCTCCTTGGGGGTCTTGAAGCCCAGGCCGATGTTCTTGTAGTAGCGGGGCAGCTTCTCCTTGCTGGTGTCGCCCAGCAGGACCCGCTTCTTGTTCTGGAAGATGGTGGGCTACTTCTGGTAGGCCCGCTCCATCTGCTTGTCTGCCATCTTGGCCATGTGGAACAAAAAGAGACCACGCGCAGCACGCCGGGAGGTTTATCCTTGCTCAAGGTTGGGTAGTTTTGAAAGGCCCTAACATTCTTAACAATCCAGTGATAATTGTAGTTCTCCCATACTTCAGGAAAGGCGCTGGGAACCATAGTTTGGAGGCTGGCTCTTTTAAAAGATATTCTTGATCGCCTATAATTTCAATTGTAACACATTCACTTCCCTCCTTCCGTCTATGGAGCAAAGAACAATACTTCATTTTTCATGTGAGTTTATTGAGCCCTTTTGGATCTGAGGACGTTCAACATTATAAAAAAAGATCTTGTCCCGGATTTTTCTATTCCTCCAAAGATGGCCTCAGCAAAGATTATACTACCTGAGACTTCTCAGGAAACAACTGAATGAAAACTGCTGGTAACCTTCTACCGCTGCACCATAGAAGAGTATTTTAATTTACTACACCTGTGTATGGTTTGCCAAATGCACAGTGGCAGATAGGACAGGGCTCCAGAGGGTTAACATCATTGCCCAGAGGATCATTGGTTGACTTCTCCCCTCTTTGGAAAAGCTTTATAGCTCCCACTGCCTTAAGAAAGTTCAAAACATTCTCAAAGTTCCATCTCATCCTGGGCACTCTTTTTTTGAACTATTACCATCTGGCAGATGGTACAGGATAATAAAAACAAGGGCAAATAGGCTGAAAAACAGCTTCTATCCTGGAGCAGTAACTATATTGAATTCTTCTGTATAATGCAATATTAATGCAATATCAGGGGTTTTCAATTCAGTTGTTAGAATGTGAAGGATAGGTGTTAGTGTTTTATTTTTATAGTTATAATGTACACTGAAGATGGCATTTAATTTCATTGTACGAGGTGCAACGACAATAAAGTAAACTAACATGTTTGTTTTTTCTTAGCTGTAAGGAAACACTTATGAATCCAGTAACGCTTCCTCCATGGGTGAAATTGGGAGCCTGGGATTTACTTGACTTCAATACCTTTCTAGGGACTCTCATGAAACAATTCAAAGGTAAGAAAAGGACTGAAACAAAACATAAAAATTGGTGATGGGGAGATGCTGATTGGTGCAGGTAAATGCTGGAAAACTAGAAGGGCCTTATCAGGAATTTAAGGTCCACTTGAGAAGAAAGTTTTAATTTTTGGAGGAAGTTGAACCAGTCACAATGGCTTAATCGGCTTTTGTTGCAGAACTCTGCTATCAAAGTTGTTAAGTGAAAATAAGATTGGCATGACAAAGGAATGGAGGAAGTCTGGAGAGGTACCAAGGATTATTTTCAGACTGAGATCCATACAATGCCTTTAAGAGACCCACTGACATTAAAAAAACAATTACAAATAAGAGTGTTTGCTTTGTGTGAGAAAAATCTGGATTCAATTTTTGGCATCTCCAGGAATTATTGGGAAGCACTTCTTTTCCTGAAATTTTCAGGAGGAAGGCATTTTAGGGAGTTCCTTAATATTTGAATTACACAATGTTTTACATTTGAAACTAAGTCTGCAGGTAATTTCAAATTCTGCTGAGGAATTGCAAGGCAGTAGGTATGTAACTGGACATCAGAACTTTGCTTGCATACTCATAACTAGGAATATGAAATATGAAAACATTTCATATTTAGAGAAGGCAAAGATTGGATTCAAGTATCATGTTACACCATGTTGTTTAACTGTGGTTGTTGATTAAACTTTAATTGAGTTCAAACACACTGAGCCAGAACCAGCATTATGACTTAGTCTGTGATCTAAAAATCTAATACAACTTGTATTGTATGTAACTCTTCTAATTTTTATAAATCATTTGGAAGGCTTGGAAACATTATTTAACATTCGGAATCTGCTCAACTGTTGTTTAGTTAGGTGGTCTTGAAATGCAGTGTCCATGATACCTTGACAGCAAATTATATTTTGTTCGAAGAAGTGTTGCGTTGAGTTACTTAATCTGTTTCTCTATTCCCTTAGATATGCTGGTGTTTGGATATCAGATTCAGAAAGGTATATCTCTGGGTCTGAAGGGTGGCTAAATCTTCACAAACTTCTTTGCTTATATTTCACATGGGCATTCACCATCTATCCATCCTGGGTCCAAAACAGGAATGAACCTGTTAGAAAAAAAATGAGAGATAATTTCAATGCTTTTAAATTGAAAGAAAACATAGCAATGCTGCCTAGTTCTGTGATTTCTGCCTATGCTCGTCGTTTAATGACCCGGTAAGCTCTTGTGGGGTGGAGTCAGGGCAACTGAATGGAGCTGAGTGTTTATTGGCCGGATGCCCTTCCGGTCGCCAGTGTGGAGTTTTTGCAGCAGATATATTCTCGTTGTACTCAGAGAGAGAAACATCAGCCTCTACCTAGGATCGAACGCACAGCCTCCTGATTGTGAGGCGAGAGCTCCACTTCTAGGTCACCGCACCATTTTCTGTGATTTCTCTGTGATATTAATATTTAATACAGGAGGATTACTGTTTAAATGTCCTCCTTTTGATCGTCAAACTACAACCCACATTTTTCAAGCCTGTGAGATCACAGCGTCATTGGATGGTGAACTGGAGGATGTTGCTGAAACCCAACATTTCTCTGGAGAGTGACAAATCCAATAGCCTCGTGATTCAGTGGTGGGATTCAATTTTTTTTACTAGTTCTGTGGGCGTGGCTTGGTGGGCTGGGCTTGGCTTGGTGGGCGTGGCAGGGGAAGGTTACTGCAAAATCCCCATTCCCTCCGCACCCCACTAACCTGCTTTCCAGCTCCGTTCTCCTGTGCAGGGCAACCAAAGAAGACCCAGCTGATCAGCTGGGACTCAATGGGAGGCAGAGAGTAGATGGGAGCGGGGCCAGTGGTGGGTGTCAAAGTAAGTTACCACTGGTTCAGTGGGTGTGGCTTGTGCAGGCCACGGCCACCGAACCACAGGCGCAGAGGCTTTCCTACTCATTTCTTGCTATCCCGCACTCTCCCTATCGCTGCAGCAGCTGATACCCGGCAATCTGCTGTGCCGCGCAAAGCAGATCTGTTTCAAAAGCAGGGAATAAAGGTGAGTATGAGAGCCCAGGTGGGTGGGCGGGTGGGCCCAACAGCAGCTCCTCAGAGAGAACCGGTTTGGTCTCTACTGATCTTTGGCGCTACCGGTACGCCAGTCAGAGGTGATATTTGCCGGTTCTCCAAACTACTCAAAATTTCTGCTACCGGTTCTCCAGAAGTGGTCAGAACCTGCTGAATATCATCTCTGTTGTGATTGCAACCTCTCCCCACTAGAGGTGGTATTCAGGAGGTTCTGACCACCTCTGATTGGCCCTGCCCCATCCATGCTCTGCCTCCTGAGTCCCAGCTGATTGGCTGGGTCTTCTTTGGTTGCCCTGCACAGGAGAATGGAGCTGGAAAGCAGGTTAGTGGGGTAGGGAGGGAATGGGATTTTGCAGTATCCTTCCCTTGCCACGCCCATCAAGCCATGCTACACCTGCCAAACCACGCCTACAGAACTGGTAGTAAAACATTTTGAATCCCACCATTGCTCCTCATCCAAGTGTTTTCCAACCTGGATCCCCTTAATTCTTACCTACAATTTCCAGGAGGCACAAATCTTCCCCCTTTTTTTTCTTTTCCATTTCTGCTTCCTTGCGGTTAAGAATGAATCCCACCGCATAGCCAAAGACGTATCAGATAGTATTTTTATTAACGTGTGAGCTTTTGATGAGCAGCCTTCCATCTTAGGGATGACTTACGGCAATTGTGTTTCTTCGTAGCAAATGTGACTCTGGATCCTGACACAGCTCATCCCAAGCTCATTCTCTCTGAAGATCTTAAAAGATGCTGGTTGGGAAGAAAAAGTCAAAACCTCGTCAACGACGACAAGAGATTTGACCTCATGCCATGTGTGTTGGGACGCAAGATGTTCGTCACCGGCAGGCATTATTGGGATGTTGCTGTGGAAAATGAGGGCGATTGGGCTGTCGGAGTTGCCCGGAGTTCAATGAAGAGAAAGGGCATTGAGGCCTTCCGTAATATGGAAGGGATCTGGGCAATGGCGAAGTGTTGTGGCAGGTTCTGGGTGTACATGAACCCTCCAGTTCTAGTTTCTGATCCAATGCGTTGGAAGATCAAGAAGATTCGAGTCTCTCTGAACTATGCTGGAGGCCGGGTGGCTTTTTGTGATATTGAAAGAGGAAACCTGCTCCATGCCTTCTCCTTAACTTCATATTTTGGAGAGCCCATTCACCCTTTCTTTTGGATTGGGAGGAAAACCCGTCTCTCGCTTTGCCCCTAAGGCAGAAAACCTACCACCAGATCCCTTCCGTCTCTAGATCTCTGGGGCCTCTTTCTTAGTATCCCTTTCCCTTTATCTCTGTTTTCTTCCTCTCCATCTCATCCTCAAGCACCAAATACTTGGAATGAATTTTCAGGCGCAAACTGGTGTGATGTGAAAGGAACTCTTACAAAGTTGCTATGATCTTTTTAAAGGGAGCCACACCTGATGTGAAATCCACCAGCCTTGGAGGGATCAAAATTCCCAAGTAGTGCTGGAGGGTGCAGTGTTGAGGAAGACCCGTCTTAGCGATTTTATCATTTTATAATCTTTAATGGAGGCTTCCGATTAAAGTTTTAGTGCCGGGAGCAGTTCTTAATATGGAGAATTAAGAGCTGAACACAATCATTTCGGGGATGCTATTTTGAACACACGCAAACACTTGCGTTAATCACAGCAAGTTGATTTGTAGTTAAGCGGATCGGGAGACTCACATTTAAAAACTGTTCTTTTGCATAATAAAGATGAAAACCAATTGGTTTTTTTTTTAGAATTTAATATGTGGTTTTTAATAAAGGATTATTATCCCCCATTGCTTTTGTGGTTCTTTTTAGTTTTCAAACTTTTCAACCACTAAATGCACATAAGCCTCTCTTCATTTTTAAAGAAACTCCTGTTTAAGCATCACCTCTGCCTTTTCTTTCTTCTGCCTTGCTATGTGTGAGGCCGAAAGTAGTTTGCTACTTCTTTCCTGGCTACTGGTTGTTCATTTCTCCCGTGCTTCTGACCCCAATCTTCCTCAGAGGGGGAAGGCAGAGGTTGGAGTAGGCAGGGTTAGCTATTCATTGTGTTTGCCATATTGGGGAATATTTGTAGCTCGGGTTTAGGATGAGGGTGAAGGTTTGCTCTTTACAGATCAACAGAGTTGGAAGGGACTTTATAGGTCATCTAGTCCAACTCCCTGCGCAAGCAGGAGACCTTACACCATTTCTGACAAATGGCAGTCCAACCTCTTGAAAGTCTCAAGTGATGGCACTCCCACAACTTCTGAGGGCAAGGTGTTCCATTGCTTGATTGTTCTGTCAGAAATTTTCTCTTTATTTGCAGGTTGAATCTCTCTTTGTTCAGTTTCCATCCATTATTCCTTGACTGGCCTACAGGCGCTTTAGAAAATCGCTTGAACCCTTCATCTCTGTGGCAGTCCCTCAAGTATTGGAAGACTGCTATCCTGTCTCCCTTCTCTTCACTAGACTAGCCAGGCCCAGTTCCTGTAACGGTTCTTCATACGCCTTAGTCTCTAGTCTCCTAATCGTCCTGGTTGCTCTTCTCTGCACTTTTTCTAGAGTCGCAGCATGTTTTTTTATAGTGTGGTGAGCAAAACTGGAGGTTCGTTCTCCGAGCTTGTGGGTTGGTTTCTGAACTTTTCATTACGAGGCTAGGTAACATCTTCAGCAGAGTTGAGGGCATCCCCTAAACTTCGCTGAGATGTTACATAGCCTGGTAAGGAAATGTTCAGAAACCAACCCAACAGGCTCGGAGAACGAACCTTCACCCTCATTCATAGCATCTCTCATGCTCTCTACAGCATCTTTTGAGCAAGATATCAGATCCTGCACTTAATCGAGCTGGGCTGATCCCCAATAGCTAATCAGACTCAGACCTAGATAATATATGGATGGGGGATTACAAATCCCATAATGAGGGTAGACTGGCAAAATAAAAAGACTTCTGAAAGACTATTGTGAAGCAGTTTTGTATTTTGTTTTGATGAATATCAAACAGTTGATGAATATCACAACATTTGATGAATATCAAACAGTGATGGAAATAATACTCTTACTTCTGTTTTAATTTTTTTACACTGCTTCTGGGAGAACTGCTACAAACACTAAATACAGTTATATTAGGGCTGTGCACGTCAGAACAAGACACCAGGAGAGTTTTCCCCCAAATGCCATCACTCTGCTAAACAACTAATTCCCCCAACACTGTCGAATTAACCACTAAGACTCTGTTACTATTCTCATCTTTCCTATTACTTACCTCTTCCCACTTACGGCTATATCCATGTTGCTTGTATCTTTACAACTTATATTTTTATTGTTTCCTAATATGATTTGATTGCTTATTAGTATCCTATGACTATCACTGTGCTGTACCTTACGATTCTTGACAAATATATTTTATTTTTTCTTTAAGTAAACTGAGAGCATATGCACCAAAGAAAATTCCTTGTGTGTCCAATCACACTTGGTGAATAAAGAATTCTATTCTATTTCTATTCCTCCATTCCCTACATTCAGGCTGGAGGATTATGCAAGACTTCCACAGAAACGATCCACTTTCAGGGCACGGGGTTGAAGGGAGACAAACGTCTCACACAAGGGTTTGTCTAATTTATTAAAAATTGCAAGCATGCTCAAAAATTACACAAGGGCTTGTCTAATTTACAAAAAATTGCAAGCACGCTCAAAAATTACTCCGCCTTCTTTTCAAACCCGTGGCGATCACATCCCCTTAATTTCTTCAGCCGCTCAGAAATGGGGGATTTGCCCGCCAAAAGATGCCAACCGACGACTTCACTTTACTGCAGAATCCGGGGCACTCTCCAAATAGACGGGATTTTACAAAACGAAAGCGGGAGAAAAGAATGGACCCCCATGGAACCCCGGTCTAAGAGGCTGCCGGCCAATCACAATGGTCGAATGAAAGGAAACTAAAGATTCCATTAGATGTAGCGCCGCCTATCTCGACCAATTAGGAATTGCCGAAAGAACTAACGAGAGAAGGGAAAGAAATAGAAAAGGGGCGAAGGGGGCGTAGCTCTTTTCCCATTGGAAGAAAAGATGATTAAAATACTAACTAGGTTCTCTTACAGAATCTACTAGAAAGGAGAGAAGAGGTTGAAAGCTGGTGAACGTGGCCGGTCGGGGGTTGTAGTTCCGTGGTCTTATCGAGGCGTGGAGGATCCTTTCTTACAAACTCCCTGGAACTGCTAAACGCGGCGGCACTCTCTTTGTCTAACGGAGTTTCCTAGCAGTTGCTTGTGTGAGCCCTCGGTGTAGCTTCTTTGGGGTAAGTCTGTAGTAGGATGGCGTCTATGGGTACCGAGAAGTAGTAGTTTGTGTGACCCTTGATGCGAAACTGGGTTATGCGCCAACCATCTTCCACAACTGAGTATTCTCCGGTTGTGTTTTCCTAGAGCCTCCATTATCCCCTGCTGGCACAGGTGGGGCACATCTGTCTCTTATTTTAATTCAGGAGTTCAATGCCGCTTACAGAACACTTCCCCCTCCCTCTCTTTATTCTCCACGACAACCACCTTGTGAGGTAGGTTGGGCTGAGGGACCAATTGGCCCCAAATCCCGCCAGTTAGGTGAACGTTGGTTTCTTTACTACCAGTATGATACCTTACTTCAGGGCTCTTCAAACCTGAGGGCTTTAAGACTTGTGGACTTCAACTCCCAGAATTCCTCTTCCAGTCATGTTAGCTCAGGAATTCTGGGAGTTGAAGTCTACAAGTCTTAAACTTGCCAAGTTTGAAGACCCTTGCCTTAGATACTATAGTGTGGTTTGAAGGCATATATATTTATACTCTAGATAGCATAGGGTTTTTTTCTGCTTGGTTCTGACATTAGCAGTTAGGAAGCTAAGAGATATTCTTTTCTACCTCTTCTCCGCTTTTTCCTGGAATTAGGGAGATACTTCCTAACAGTGAGAACAAATAACCAGTGGAACAGCTTGCCTTCAGAAGTTGTAGGTGCTTCTTCACTGGACATTTTAAAGAAGAGACTGGGCAGCCACCTATCTGAAATGGTATAGGGTCTCCTGCTTGAGCAGGGGGTTGGACTAGAAGACCTCCAAGGTCCCGTCCAGTTCTATTCTGAAACTGAGGACATTTTGGAGGGATGGAACATCTAAGATGGAACTCTCCCTCCTACCCGTAGCTATTTTCTCTCTTCTTTTTCCTCATGCAGCTTACTTTCTGGTGGATCTGCTGCAGCTGTGCTTGCTAAAACTGCCTCGGGCTCTTGTGGAAACAGAGACCTCACACATTCAACTTTGCTTACTGTGAATTTCGGACGGCATGGCTACTGGGAACATTGGGAAGAAGCTGCAGTCAGAAATAACCTGCTTTGTGTGTTCGGAGTACCTCATACAACCGGTGACTCTTGAGTGCGGGCACAACTTCTGCCATGCCTGCATTGTGAAGTGCTGGGCACAGGTTTCCGATGGGACCTCTTGCCCTTGGTGCAGAGTAGCGGTTCCTCGGTTGAATTTTAAGCCAAACGGACAGCTAGCTAATGCCGTCCAGTTAATCAGGCAACTGAGTGATCAGGCAAAGCAGATGGCAAGGAGGAGCAAAACCTGTCAGGGACATGAGCCAGCCATGTCTTTCTGCAAAGATGATCTTGTCCCCATTTGCATACAATGTGATGGATCCCAGGAACACGAGGCTCATAATGTTATCTCCGTGGCACAAGCTGCTGAGGAGTATAAGGTGGGGGATTCAAAAAAAAATGCACTGTCAGCGTTCCAACTAACAAACTCCAAACCAATAAACTCGGAGACAAGCATTTTCTCAAAGTCCCATTTTATTAGAGTTGTCCTATTGGCACAACCCGAATCTGAGAGTTCCGGGTTTTCCCTTCTCAATAAAACAGAGGTCTTCAAACTCAACAGCTTTAAGACTTGTGGACTTCAACTCCCAGAATTCTTCCTCCAGTCATATTAGCTCAGGAATTCTGTGAGTTGAAGTCCACAAGTCTTAAACATGCAGAGTTTGAAGACCCTTGCAATAGAAAGTCAAAGATCCATCCCCAGCACCCACCAGTCCCATCACATGGCCCAATCAAACATGTCCCAACTAGGGACATTCCTTGAGTCACTCCAGGTGCAGTGTAACATGTCCTTGACTTCTAGAAAAGAATGTTGAGTCTAATCTTGCACCTCTCTCTGAAATCCCCGCTCCCATTTTCCCAGGCACAAAATATGGCAGCCTCGAAGCTTTGAAATAAAATATGGCTTCTAAGACTGACATATACATTGGTTTCATAATAATATCAGTAGCCTTCAGGAACTTGAGTAGAGAATTTGGATATGGAATAAGAGAGCAAGACAGCATTTAGAAAAAAAGTGCCTCTACTGCTTTAAAACTCATCAGCCAGCTGTCCGCTTGCATGTTACTTCTTGCATTGGCTTCCATTTGTTTGTTTCTCTTTCAGGGTCAAGTTTTAAGTTGCATTGAGAGTCTAAGGAAGGAGAAAGAAGTGATTATGGAGCATCTCTCAGACACAGATAAACAAAGTCAAGACCTGATTGTAGGTATTGCTACTACTGAGAAGTGAATAATCATGATATCCTGTTTTCAGTACTATCATAAGATATACATGTGGTCTCAGGACTGAACCGTGGGGCCCTTGATGCTCTCTGAAGTTGTTTGTTTGCTTGCAAACAACTTGTATCCTACTAGCTTACATCAGTAGTGTCAGATTATGTTATTGTTACTTAGTTGGGTAATGAAGCATCTGCAAGCAAACAACCATTACTGGGTTCTTTTTAGCAAAGCAATATCTCTCAGTATATTGGCTGGAGTGAATGAGAGATCTTCAAGTGACTGAACCCAGATGTAATGATTAAACATAAGAATCAAGGATTTTCTGCTTCAGTCTTATCTTTGGTGCTAAAGGCAGAGTATTCCCAAGCTAGTAGTTCCTTGTTACCTTTTCAATATAGGTAAATAAGCTAAAATAAGCAGGTTTTGATTCCTCAATATCTTGTGTGAACAAGACCATCAAGTCAGCAGGTTAGACGTGCACAGAAGCTGAGTGTTATCAAACTGGACTGCGTAGTTAGAACATTGTATGAACCCAGCCAATGATTGTTCTGTTGCAAGCGTCGTCCATTATTTTTAAGAATTAATAGATATGCTCACCTTCCTCTCAAAATCCTTTTTTCTGCAGCAACTAGTAGAAGCGGAGGAAAAGAAAGTGGTGGATGGATTCAATCATCTGCATCAACTTGTATTAGAACAAAGCACCTTTTGGCTTAGTAAGGTTGAAGAAGTAAAGATGGAGATCACGTTGAAAACCAATGATCAGATGGCTGTAATCTCCAAGGAGCTGTTTGTTCTTGATTACATCATCCAGGACTTGGTTGAGAAATGTGATCAGCCAGTCTTGGAATTCCTAGAGGTAAGAAATTTGGGACAGTAGGAGAGGGAGTTCTTGGACTCATTTTTCATGCTGGTTTGTTCCCTGATTATGGAATGAAAGTGATGCTAGTTAAATGTTGTTGCCGTTGTTACTGAGCTGGGAGAAGTGGCTTTCATGATAGAATACATCAACAATGAAGGACCCTGTCCCAAAGATGCTTTTTAAAGAGGCAACTGGACTTCGGACATTTTAAAAGACATTTTGCTTTTTATCCAAGAAACTTCTTTAGTTTCTTGGATGAGAAGCGAAACATCTTTGAAGAAAAATCAGAAAGTCCAGATGCCTCTTGAAAAAAACGCTTTTGGGACAATCGTGACTTGGATGACTGAGAATCTCCATCGACAAATGAAGGACCCCACTTTTAAAAAGAGGAATTTGATATGTGGGGGCTCATTCATTCATCCATCTTGGTAAGCACACACAGAATTTTGGGAATATGTTGTGCGTACTTTTACAAAATGGTAGCCCAAGTGAGATGAGTGCATAAGAAAGCAGGATATGAAGCAGGAAGCTTGGTAGATACCAATGAAGATATCTACAGACATGTGGTATCTTCAGGCAGCATGTTTAGCACACCTCCCTTGCTTTGAAGCTAGAGTCTTCACTTTTGGTAGAGTCTTACTCTCTAAACAATGGACCTAAGTCCAGTCTTTGGCATCTGCAGGTAAGATTATACATCTGGGCAATGGCTTCCAGTGTTTAATTGGTAATAAATTAGATGGGCCAAATGGCTTGACCCATTCTTCCAAGAAGCATTGATAAGACGCATGTCTGAAAGAGAAGATTCTATGCAGACCTATACATTCAATTGCATCTCCAGGGACTCTGCTAAATAGCAAGAAAGCATATTGTAACCAGATATTTATTCTACACCTAGGAATCATTTAGTTCTACATTTAGTCCACAGAATAAGTTCAAAAACATACCTAATATTAAATTGTTTGGGTATATTTAAGAAAATGGATTCACCTTCCTATATTTGATTTATGACCACAACTGAGCCCAAAATTTGCTGCTAAACAAGACAGTTAAGTGAATTTTGCCCTGTTTTATGACTTTTCTTAAGTGAACCACTACAGTTAATGACATGATTTTGCTTATCAGAAAGTTGCAAAAGGTGATCATGCAACTGTCATAAATACATGCCAGTTACCAAGAGACTGAATTTTGATCACTTGACCACAAGAATACTGCAAAAATCATCAGTGTGAAAAATGGACAAAGGTCACTCTTTTTCAGTGCCGTTATAGCTTTTAATGGTCACTCAATGTATGGTTGTAAGTCAAGGACTACTTGTATTACTGTCTTACTCACTTGAATATTCAGGCTTCAGCCTGAAGATAACAGGACAGAATCAGTGAGTTCTTTCTCTAGTTCCCAGTTGGTGTAACCCAATTTGCAGAATATGTTTAATCTATTTTTTCCCAATAACTTTTTATTTTACTTTTTAAAGTTTGAATATTGCCTTTCAAAATCTGGTTTCTCTAAAATGGCCACTGGATTTTCCTAGTCTTTATGGATGAAGAGTTTCAGTGTATTCATGTCCAAACTTTAAAGTATGCCTTTAGAATCTTAGATATGGAATCTGGGCATTGCTAAATATATATTGCTGAACTACAGTTCCTAGCAGTCTTTGTATGCTTAATGATGAGAGATATTGGTTGCTCTAGCCGTAACAACATTTAAAAGGCTTTTTAGTTATTAGCCCTGCTTTTAGAAGGATTTTGGACAAGTGAGTACTGATGGTTTCTTGTTTTTTAATTTTAGAATGTCAGAAGCATCTTGGAATGGTAAGCTGATCTCCTTGAAATGGCCAGGTCAATATTTATTTTGTATGTGGATGGATGGATGGATGGATTGATGGATACATATTGAAAGCTGCCTGGTTTTCTGATATACAAAAAAATGACATACTTCATTTTAATATACCAATTCATCTACATGGGATTATAATAAGCAAGTGCAACCAATTTGCTTACTTTGGAAATTGGGGTGACAATGATTTGAAGTTAAATGGTTTGGCTGAGACAGAGGATATGTTGTTTTCAAAGAAAAGTAGTATGAATCAGAGTTGGATAGAAGCCTTGATACATATCACTATATAGCTTGGTGTTCGAGTTATAGGCATCACAAAGATTAATTAAACTTATTGACTGAATAGTGCATTAAATGTTCATGATTACATGAATAATGGTGCTCAATTAACATTTGCAAAGGCAACAATACCATAGTTACAAGTGGAATAGAAATTTGTATTTTTGCTCTTATTTTGGCCCATTTTTGCGTATGGCTGTGATGGCTATTGAAAGTTGGGATGGCATTTGGTTTCCTAAAACTTGTAGCCCATTTTTTTTCCTGGTTTCTGCACTCTATTATTGAATTTTGGCTCCCAACTGATTCTTACAATATTTATCATCATATGTAGGGAAAAGTCAGGTTGACTGATCTGGTTTAGCAGCTCTTGTAAGATGTCACTTTTCATGAAGCCCCAGATGTACCTATGAAAATCCACCAAAATTCAGGATTACAAGATCTGGATTTGGGAATAATTGTATTTAATGCAGTATGGTTTCCCCAGTTGTGGCTTCTTTTCCTGCTTTATTTCTTCTATGCATCAAGGAAATGTAGAGAGAGAAACTCTTCTGTCTCTCTGGAGAAATTTCTGGATTGGACATACTAAAATGAGATCTGTCTTCTAAGTCTAACTCTAGTTTGTCCCTCACTTTTAAAGAAAGCTTCTGAGAATTACAGGCTGGATTGACAATTGACTATGGTCTATTTTTCTACAGCTATAAGGAGAAGAAGAACTTTGAAAATCCAGTGGTTTTTCCACCAGAGATTAAACATGAAATTTGGGGATTGCAGAACTTCAGTGCTTTTCTGCCTGGTGCTGTGAAGCAATTTGAGGGTAAGGGAAGGGCTTTGTCATACTTTAACTCGATGCCACAATTGGAAAGTCAATCATAGTTTACAAAATGGACTATAGGTACTCCCTAGGCTATTGTCCAGTTCATATCTTTCCTCATTAACAATAATCTCAAAACAGTCCATTTCCTCTTGTTTGGGGATGAGACCATCTGTGGGAAGGGAGGAGCCTGTGTTGATTGAAGCAGAGAGGGAAGAGCTTAGAGCCTCTTCCACTGGTCTCATTCTGAATAATTAATTTACTTTTTTGGTCCTTTGATGTAGGGAAACTTGTGTTTGTTGGGGAAGGAGAAAGTAAACCATTCTGATAGCACTGATAATGTTATATAGTTTGGGTAGTGAAACGTCTACAAGAAAACAACCAAGCTCACAGAGCACCAAGGACCTCTCATTTCAAACCTGAGTCACCACTATTGTCCTTTATTGGAAAAAAAGTTTTGCTTATTGGCTAAAACATGCCTCATTTAAAGCAACCAAAGCGCTATGAAGATGTGACATACATTAATTAAGCATGCAATCAACTATAGCAGGGGTGTCAAACTTGCATCGTCATGGTGTTATCACGTGATGTATCACGACTCCCCCCCCCTTCGTTACAGCAGGCGTGGGCATGGCCAGCATGTGACACATCCAGCCCATGGGCTGTGAGTTTGACAGCCACTATAATACACTGCTCAAAAAAATAAAGGGAACACAAAAATAAGACATCCTAGATCTGAATGATTGAAGTATTCTTATTAAATACTTAGTTCCTTACATAGTTGAATGTGCTGACAACAAAATCACACAAAAATTATCAATGGAAATCAAATTTAGCAACCTATGGAGGTCTGGATTTGGAGTTACACAAAATTAAAGTGGAAAAAAACACTATAGGCTGATCCAACTTTGATGTAATGTCCTTAAAACAAGTCAAAATGAGGCTCAGTAGTGTGTGTGGCCTCCACGTGCCTGTATGACCTCCCTACAACACGGCATGCTCCTGATGAGGTGGCGGATGGTCTCCTGAGGGATCTCCCCCCACACCTGGATTAAAGCATCCCCCAACTCCTGGACAGTCTGTGGTGCAACGTGGCGTTGGTGGATGGAGCGAGACATGATGTCCCAGATGTACTCAATTGGATTCAGGTCTGGGGAAAGGGCGGGCCAGTCCATAGCATCAATGCCTTCATCTTGCAGGAACTGCTGACATACTCCAGCCACATGAGGTCTAGCATTGTCGTGCATTAAGAGGAACCCAGGGCCAACCGCCCCAGCATGTGGTCTCACAAGGGGGTCTGAGGATCTCATCTCGGTACCTAATGGTAGGCTACCTCTGGCGAGCATATGGAGGGCTGTGCGGCCCCCTAAAGAAATGCCACCCCACACCATTACTGACCCACTGCCAAACCGGTCATGCTGGAGGATGTTGCAGGCAGCAGAACGTTCTCCATGGCGTCTCCAGACCCTGCACGTCTGTCACATGTGCTCAGTGTGAACCTGCTTTCATCTGTGAAGAGCACCACCAGTGACGAATTTGCCAATCTTGGTGTTCTCTGGCAAATGCCAAACATCCTGCACGGTGTTGGGCTGTAAGCACAACCCCCACCTGTGGACGTTGGGCTCTCATACCACCCTCATGGAGTCTGTTTCTGACCGTTTGAGCAGCCACATGTACATTTGTGGCCCACTGGAGGTCATTTTGCAGTGCTCTGGCAGTGCTCCTCCTATCCCTCCTTGCACAAAGGTGGAGGTAGCGATTCTGATGCTGGGTTTTTGCCCTCCTACAGTCTCCTCCACATCTCCTGATGTACTGGCCTGTCTCCTGGTAGCACCTCCATGCTCTGGACACTACGCTGACAGACACAGCAAACCTTCTTGCCACAGCTCGCATTGATGTGTCATCCTGGATGAGCTGCACTACCTGAGCCACTTGTGTGGGTTGTAGACTCCGTCTCATGCTATCACTAGACTGAAAGCACCGCCAGCATTCAAAAGTGACCAAACCATAAGCCAAAAAGAATAGGAACTGAGGAAGTGGTCTGTGGTCACCACCTGCAGAACCACTCCTTTATTGGGGATGTCTTGCTAACTGCCTATGCTTTCCTCCTGTTGTCTATTCCATTTGCACAACAGCACATGAAATTGATTGTCAATCAGTGTTGCTATGTAAGTGGACAGTTTGATTTCACAGAAGTGTGATTGACTTGGAGTTACATTGTGTTGTTTAAGTGTTCCCTTTATTTTTCTGAGCAGTGTATATACTGGGCTTCCAGTATATTAGCTGCTTGCTGAGAAGCCCTGGTCAAAAAAAAAAAAAAGCAGAATGTGCCTTATGCTCCTTTGGCTCATAACATTATACAATGTCTACCCCTTTATGTTTGTAAATTACAGCATGGCAGCAAATGTTTTTCATTCAATAGGTTTGATGGTTTTTCTGGGTGACCTTCTCATTACTTATCCCATCAGGTCAGCATGGCAGCTCTATTATCTTTGAGATATGATCAGTGAACATAAACAATGTGGTTTACTGGGCCACTGGTCCCTTTCTGATTCTTCACTGTGTTGCTGCTCAAGATCATTTTGGCTTTTTGTGAATGTTTTGTTACAGGAACACTTTAAGCTATTGGAGGGGGAAGGCATCTGATAGGATTGGTAGCTAATGCAGCTCATATGTATGGAATGGGGCAGCAACTTTTAGTACCACACTGGTGTGGCCAGTGTGAGATAGTAGTGAAGATGCTGGACTCAAACAGGTCCATAGAAGGTCGCTGAATGATTTGGATCAGTGTTACTTTTTCACTGTCTGCCCAACTTATTGTGAGGGGTAATTTTATAGCTGGAAATAAAAACCCAACAACCAGCAGAGGCAGTATATACTGTGCTGCCCTAGGATACAAATCTAATACATGTTTTTCTTATTCATTTCCAAGAAACCCTGGAATCCGGATATCAGCTGAAGAAACAAAATGGTACATATCTGGGGTTTGTAGACATCAAATGGACATTAAGGGGGTAGTGCCCATTTTTCTTGTAGACAGTTGAGGCTATTTTAATACAACTTTTAGAAAGTGGCATTATGGGTTTTTAAAAGAGACCTTGGAGGTCTTCTAGTCCACCTCCCTGCTCAAGCAGGAGACTATATCATTTCTAACAAGTGGTTGTGTTGTCTCTTCTTGAAAGCCTCCAGTGATAAAGCACTGAATGGAGAGGCTGACTGCCACTAAAGGTTTAATATGTTCTTTTCAAGAAGAGGGCAAGGGGAAGGATTTATTGAAAAGGGAGTTGGCAAAAAGACCATTACTGGAGAGTAAGGGAAAAACCTGATTCCAATTTTGGGGTGATAAAAGTTTTTAAGAAAGGATTCCCAGGAGGACATGGAATACAACAGAAACCGGTGCATAACTATTGAATTATGGGTTATGTATGGCCCAGGTTTATTCTGTTGGTGACTTTTTAAGATGTTATTTGATTTCACTATACTATTCATTGAATGTTGTTTATAGAGAAGCCCTCCAAGGATTTTCTCCCAAGAATTGCAAACTGGTTTGTCCATAAGGGATTACAAATCTCACAAAATACTGAAGTTTGCTGTGGAGAAGGAAGACCTATCACATTAAAATACAAACCATCAATCTTCTGAAATACTACCTGGTGGCAGCCTTTGAACATTTGTGGATTCACTTGCTTGGGAAAAGAGCAGGTGTGCCAAAACACTAAGATAAGAGACAGGGAGTATGAGGTAGACAAGAGAGTGAAGACTGAGATAAAATACATGTGCCTTAAGTTGAGTTCAGGTCCTAGTTATAATAATTGTTTTCTTGCCAACACTGCAAAATGCTTTGCCATTGTTTTCCTTCTGGATGTGTTATTGACTTCGCAGTTTAGTCTTCAACCCTGAGATTTCATGGTGTTCTCCTAGCACTAGCAGATTTAACCCTGCTTAATTCTGCCACTATTTTTTTTTTTGAGAAGCAACCTCTAAATCTTCCAAATCTATGTTCTTTCATGCCTGCAGTTGGGCTTAGTTTTTTTTTACCCTTTTCTCTTGCAGAAAATACCACTTTAGAGCCAGACCCAAGTCAAGAGAAACGCTTGAGGCTAGAGGAGACCTGTCAAGATCTATGAAAGATTTGGAAGGCAGATGACTTCTGAGGAGTCACAGTAGGGTGTCTGCAATGTAGATTTTCAAGAGCTTTGGTGAAGGAAAAGGCCTTGTTTGGAATGAAAGGCTGGTGCAATTTCCAGCTGGAAAAATCAAGGAAATACAACTGTGTGTTAATTCTCAGGGAAATCTTTTAAATCTATTCACCTTCTCCAGAACTTCATTTTCTAGAGGCCTTTTATCCCTTCTCCTTATTTCCACTTCTCTTTCCACCTTTTCTTCTTCAAGGCCAAGCAGCCTCTGATCTTCCTTCAAAGCATCTGTGTGTGGAGGAGGTTAAAAAAGGTCATGATAGCAGCCATGACTACAATTGAAGGCCCATTCCTTTTTGTGTGTGCGCTCAGTGTGACCCATGTAAAAAAGGATGGGACTCCCAATTCTATGGTTGTGGCTGCCATCTTCCCTTTTTGACCCCTCTTGCAAATGCCCCTGCTTTCATTTCAGCTTCCTTCCCTAAACAGGTTTATTCATGGAGATGTTGCAGCTAAATGTGGCCTGAATAAAATTATAGATTTGGATCTGGGCATCTCTTACATGTTCCTTGATGGGATCCCTCATCAATGAAGAGTTTCTCAAAAGATTCCTTGTTAAGGGAGAGCATCCTGACATGGAGAAAGGAAATGATTTCACTTGCAGTCAACTCAAGTGAAAAATGGGACACAGTAGTTCTTTTAAAATGTACTAATTTGTCTTGGATGTTCCTTTTCGAAAAACCTTGATCTTTATTTGTTTTTAGTATGGCTTTAATAAACTGTATTGTAAACTGAAAATAAACTATACACTACCTAACACATAATTATAATGGATTGCAAATAAGGTATAATCATTGGTATTTCCTA